CAAGAGGCAACTGGACTTTCTGGTTTTTCTTTGAAGACATTTAGCTGCTCATCCAAGAAGCTCCTTCAGCTCTGAATGGATGGTGGGGGAATGGGAAGATTTATATTCCTTGCAGGCAGCTGGTCATTTGCATCCTTTTAGAGGGTTCTTGAGGCCACTTGGGGGTTTGTTTGTGTCCTCAGTTGCCCCAAAGACGCTTTTTCAAGGCAACTGGACTTTTTCTTTTCATCCTTTTAGGGAGTCGTTGAGGCCACTTGGGGGCTTATCTACTCTGTCACCTGATTAGTACAAAAGGGTGGGGAGCCTTCTTGGAACTGTTGAAAGCAGCAAAGTTGTCCACATTTTGGACAGAGAGGACCTCTGGTTTGAAAGACGGGTCAAGAAGACCATCATCTATGCCCCTGTTTATTTGTGCCCATTTCCTGTGTTCTTATCCATGTTTATTCTTATCCCTGTCATCTTGTACCTGAGCGACAAACTAACTAAGTAAAATAAAATGAACAAATAATAAATAAAATAAAACACATCAAAATTGAACAGCCCTCTCTCAACAGAGGGGGGGACGACTGTCAGACGTCATCTGTCTCCTGTGTCTACAACACAGTCCTTTCAACAGTTCTAAGAAGGCTCTGCACCCATTTGCACCACTCAGGTGACCCTGAGGACACAGACAAGCCTCCAAGTGGCCTCAAGGACTCTCTAAAAGGATGCAAATGACCAGCTGTCTGCAAGGAGTCTAAATCTTTCCATTCCCCACCATCCAGTCAGAGCTGAAGAAGCTTCTTGGATGAGAAGTGAAACCTCTTCAAAGAAAAAGAAGGAAGTCCAGTTGGTACTTGGAAAAAGCAGTTTTGAGAATAACCGTGACCTGGATGATTGAGATTCTCCATGGACTTCATGGTCCCAATTTGCCATTGCCAAATGAGGAGAACCAGAGGACAAAATAAAGGCAAAGGTAAAGGTTCCTCTTGCACATATGCATTAGTCGTTCTTGACTCTAGGGGGCAGTGCTCATCTCCGTTTCAAAGCCGAAGAGCCAGCGCTGTCCGATGACGTCTCTGTGGTC